ACTCGTGTCCTCCGCCAACTTGGACCACCGGCTAGAGTAAACTCTCCCTTCCTTGATGACCGCTAGGAGATGCTTCTCAGGTCTCTCGAACACCGTGATATCCTCAAGTGGATTCTCGTTCAGTATCAAGATGTCCGCCAAGAACCCCTCCTTGATCTGGCCCAAGAGACTCTTCTGTCGCAATAATCTGGCTGGATTGACTGTTGCGTGTCGCAGCACATCCGCATTGCCGAGAACCTGAGCCCGGAGGCCGAATTCTTTGAGCTGCTCCACGCCTAGAAAGCTCAGCAGATCTGAGCCAAGACAAATCGTCACGCCTGCTTCGTGAGCCAGCTTCACCGAGACAAGACCTTGCTGCAACACCTGCTCGTTCTTCTTTTGATTCTCAACTGGTAGGAATGCCGCATACTTGGGGTCGGCCATGGCTTGGTATGTGACCAGAGTCGGTGTCAAGAACACGCCCTTCTCTGCCATGAACGCCGCCGTCTCCTTGTCGATGAGATTGCCATGTTCGATCCCGCGCACGCCATTTTCGACTGCTCGCCGGATCGCCTTTGGCGTATACGCATGTGCTGTGACAATGGTATCGTAAGTGTCGGCCACCTCCGCCACGGCCCGGATCTCTTCCGCCGTGAACTGTGTGTTCTCGAGGGCGTCTGTCGGTGAAGCCACGCCTCCGCCAACCATCAGCTTGATGAAGTCAGCCCCCGTGCGCAGCTGGTCGCGGGCGCCTCGTAGACATTCCGGGACGCCATCACAGACGACGGAGAGACCCTCGGCAGAGCCCCCACAACATCCTTGGCTCGCTTTCTCGTGTGCCCCGCGTTTGTCACCGTGTCCGCCAGTCTGCGACAGGGCATGTCCGGCGATGAATAGTCGCGGGCCGGGAAATACACCGTCGGCAATGGCTTCCTTCAATGCTAGCGAGGCGCCACCGCAGTCTCGAACAGTCGTGTAGCCCCGCTCAAGCATCGCCTTGCATACAAAGGGCTGCCGCATGAATGACACGTCCTGCGATAGGGTCATGGAGCTCCGTAGGTCCGATTCCCCAGGTACCGAGGTAAGATGTACATGACAGTCGATGAGGCCGGGGCTTAGATATTTCCCCTGTAGATCGATGGTGATGGCTTCGTCTTCTATCTCGATATGCGACCTGCTTGACCTCAGGGATGTGATCTTGCCGTCAGATAGCTTGACCGTCTGCCCCGAAAGAATGACGCCTTTCGCCGAGTCAACGACATGGGCATTGGTGAAGACATAGGTCCGCTGGGGGGGAAGCTTCCATGGTTTAATAACCTCTTCTGGTATCGTGTCTCGACTCCTGCTTTTCCATTGCATCTCGGTTCGGGTCCTCATTATAAGACACGCTGGTTAGCAGTCGTGATGCATCCCACCATTGGCAGTTCAAGGAGTCTGGAAAGCGTGGCGGGGTAGATTCTTGTCTTGAGGACAGCACAAGAGAGCCTCCGATGTTATCTACCCGGCTTCGGTGCAACTTCCACCGGTGATCTTTGCTTAGCAAATCTCACCTTCCAAAGCGGGAAGACCGTCCCCGCTTGAAGCTTGCTCGCCGAAGCGGCCGGCTCCGGCGTTCCGATTCCAACTTTTGTTGCCGGCCACGGACATCATCTGACACATCGAACGTCCGGATGCGAAATCGTAGGGTTCTGCCCTTGAAGACCAAAGATGCCTGAAGGAGCTATATGCATACCAAGATTCCATCTTGTCGTATATGGTATATATAGCACGCTAACGTGCCTTTCATTAAAGTTATCCCTTCGACACCTGCTGTGACCATCTCCCCAAGTCTTGACGATCTTGTAATACTGTACAGCACTCAAAGATGTTAATGATTCCTGCATGCCAAACAATAACAAGCAGAGTCCTTTCTTTTGAAACCCCCCACAATAGTCAAGTGTTTCTGGATAGTATTGAGCCATAGTTGATTTGATGGTCATTGTTCAGTAATCTAGAGTAGGCCCTTACCCTACAATGGTAAGTGTCCGCAGGTGACAAGCTCATGCTAATGCTATTTCTCGCTAGGAGTGCGGCTCAGTCTGTCACTACCGGAAGTCTTCACATTTTATAAATAAAAAATCGAAAGCTTGGCTAGAGCCTCAAAGGCCTTCTAGCTCCCTATTTCACTTGTCCGCGATGGATCCAATTATCTCAGCCCCACCTCTCCTTCTCATAATTAAGGCACTGGCTTGCGGAGCCGTGGGCATGATATTAATGGATCACTTTGACAAAGGAATGTATTACTGATCTAGATGGTATCCGTGCCGTGCCGCTGGAAGTGGAGATCATGCAGTATTAAAAGGCCATATCGAAGGACACAAAGGAAGATAAGGACTGATTATCGTGGTCGATTGTAAAGTATTGCACCTTCAACAAAGACACCAGCAATAGAACTATCACTGGATTTTCTCATCCAGTCATGGCTTCGAAGAAACCTGGAAAATGCTGTGCCATTGGGCTCAGACACGAGTATGTAACAGCCAGGGCGCCATCTTTCGCCAATCTAGAATACTACGACTTTGATACACTCAGTGTCCATGTGCCCTCTTGACATGTCCTCCCAGTAATCAGTGGTTGCTGATGAAGACTTACCATCAAGGTACTATTTAATGAATGCGTTTCCTTCAGTCTTGTCTACCAGTATGAAAACAACATGGCCATGCATGTACAGGGGTTTAGTGACCATCGACGCCTGGACGGTCACTTATATACTGAAGTACACGATAATTATGGCGGCACTCGGCCGGACGATTATGCCTGCCTCTATTAAAGTGAGCTATACTCGAGAGGAAGAATGTGAACTTGAACGACAGAAGGAGATAGAGAGGAGACATATTTAAGCTTGCTTGGACTTTCTCCCAGTCTCCCTCACTGAAACGTCAAAATATCTCCTTACAACCCCCGACAAATCTTACGACAGTGACCCATGATTAGATTTGTGGTCGCTCAGAGGGGCGAGTAAAATTATTACGGCTACAACTCCCGACCTCTCCTTCGGGTACCAACAGGTCAACAGGCAGAGCTGCAATACAGAGTCGTATAAAGATAACATGGTTATCACTATATTTATCTCATCGTAGCCTCAAAATGATATTTCCCGGACCCGACTGTGACCAATGTCCGTTGGCATCCGGCTTTGACGCTAAGAATACCATCTTGACCAACCTTCATAGGCTTGCCACTCTCTACGATGCCCGTTCCGTTCAAATACACCAGACCCGTCGAACCTACGGGCACCTCAACGTCATATGCCAGCTTCTTACCCTGGAGATTCCAGCTGGCTGACGCAACGCCGGCCGGTGTGCGGTAGCTGGTGCTTGCGGATGTTAGGTCGCCAACGATCGTGGGCGAGTAGGTGATGTTCTTCCAGGCAATGGAGTTAGTCGACTGGGATAGGCCGCTGAGTTGCAGGATCCAGAGATCACCAATGCCGTACCTGATCATCTAGAAGTCAGTGACCGTCATTTCTAAGGGTCAGAGACAGACAAGCTTACATGAAATGGTTGAGACTGCCGCCGGTGGTCGGAGCATCCCAGTGCTCCCACAATGATGTCGCGCCGTACACAACTTGGTAACCATAGCTGGGCACGGTACGAGAATTCATGATGTTGAAAATAACATCGTCTCGGCGTGCGGCACGCAGAACACGGAAAAGACCTGATCAGATTGCAAAGTCCGCGATTAGCCATGGACCGTCTGACATTTGAGGGCAAGGCTAATATGCACGCTGAAAAGGGTCTTACTCACTAGGAAGAGCAATTTCTCCGACTGTAACATGCCAATCATTGGCCTGCAGTGAGTCAATCAAGGCCTGCAAGACTCGAGCGCGAACATTTGATGGCACAGCTCCCATGTCGAGAGCCATGGCATTGCAACCCTGCGAGTTTAAGCAGTAGTGTGGGAAGTTGGTCGAGTTGTACCACATGGTGTGGAAGCCACTCGCAATGTCGGATGCCAGAGTTCGGTACTTGGCAGCAGCTGCTTGATTTCCTAGAATCGATTCAATCTCTGCCATGGCTGCTGCACATTGCTGATATCCAAAGGTGGACGTGGAGCCCTTGGGAGTCGTTGTGTCTGGAACGAATTAGCGGTGCGAGAGAGAGGTCTGTGTGACTGAGCGTACCAAGTCCCTCCCAGTCGCCGAGGCCGCCATCATTGAGATAGGGGTTGCCAGCTGCTCGGTTGATGAGGTAGTTCATATAGTCGACCATGATCGGGTACTTGATCTGTAGGATGCGGATGTCGCCATAGTACTGGTATAGCTGAAGCGGCACGATCACCATGGCATTGCCCCACTGCAAGATGATCAGAACAAGAGGATGAGATAGGATTTCGATTATACTTGCATTCGGATCATTGCGATATCCACCTCCCATTGGGCTACCACTAAGTACACAGCATTGTCAGTGACTTCTTCTACGAGTCTACCAAGTCAAGAAATCACCTACTATTCAGGGGCAATATCCGGGATAAGACCAGCAACATCGGAAGCCTGAGCATCAGCAATGGTGCGAATCAGGTCATCACCATACGCCTGGAGATCATAGCCGAGGGCAAGCGGCTCAAAGACGAGGTGATCTTGCTCGATCCATCCGAGTTTTTCTCTATGTGGACAATCCGTCAACACGGAGTACATGTTGCCCTAAAGTCTCATAAGCAAATTGCTCGAGGGAAGATTGCGAAAGAAGATATCTACCTGGATAGACCGATCAATGATCTTGTGGATTCCGTTGAAAAGATCGTTGCTCGTATCGACGGACAGAGTCACCTCGTTGGAGGCTCTGATCACTGACCCCTTGATATCTGACACGGATGGAGTCCAGGTGGTGTTGACACCAATATACTGGAAACCGTGGTAGATCCATTTGGGCGTGTAAGTCTCAACCTCTTCGCCAGCTAAGGTGTATGCGTCGAAGATAGGACTACCAGTAGTCGACTGGTCTGGAGTTCCTGCGGCATTGACCCGCTCAGAAGGATAGAAGACGATGCGTGTTCCCGCACGCTGTGCTAGAAGTTAGCGTACAAGCCGCGCAGCAACAATTCACCCTGATACTTACTCCCTTGCCGTTCATTGTGAAAGTGTAAGTGCCGGCGAAATTAACACCCATGTCGAAAACCCATTGTGCACCGGCCTACGATATTTAATTACCAAGCAATGCGCTGAAAGTTGAGCTGCACATACCTGTTTGACGGAAACTGCATTGAGGGTCTCGACAACCTTCAGGGGAGGCGACCGTGGGCTAACAAGCTTCCCCAGCGGACCCGTGGTCACGACTGCCTTGGTCCACTTGGATCTGTCTCCGTCGACAGTCGACCAACCCGGCAACTCCTTGCGTGCATCGTACTCCTCTCCACCAAACCATGCCGCTTCAATATAGGGTCCGTCCACGCTCGTCACCCAGCTGTCATCCGAGTACACCGCGCCAGACTCGCCCGAGACGCACGAGTACTCGAGTTGGGCAATGAGCTTCAGCTGAGCGGGCGTGGTCAGCTTGAACTTGGCGTAGCGGGCCAGCAGCGGGATCTCTGAATCGTATGTGCCCTTGCCGAGAGCGACGCCGAGCACATTCGCACCTTTGCTGAGCTGGGAGGTGACATCGTAGGTTGAATACAGCAAGGTCTTGTTCACGGTGGTGTATCCTTGCTCGAGCTCACTGTCCCCGATTTTCTGGCCGTTCAGCTCCGGGGCGTGGAGGCCGAGTCCGAGGAGGTAGAGTCGAGCTTTAGAGACGTCACAAGAGACGTCAAAATCCTTGGCAAAAACGGGGAGAGAGTTGTTCCCGGTCTTGAAGTCAGTGTTTGCGATCCAGGAGGCGGTCCAGTCGCTGTTGTCTAGTAGGGAGATTTCAAAAGACGAGACATCGCTCCAATCCGAGGGCTGGTTGCCAGAGTCCCAGACTTTAACTCGCCAGAATACAGTCGATCGCGATTCGAGGCTCTTTCCAGAGTAGGTCACGAAGGAGTCATTGGAGGCGATGCGCTGCGAATCCCAAAGGTCCGGGGCGGCGAAGTGAGACTCGGCCGAGGCGGCTTGAACTTGGTATGCAATCTGGGAATCACCTCGGCTAGAGGATGTCAAGCGCCAGGAGAGCCTTGGAGTAGCAGTATCTACAGCAATTGGGTTGACGGCACCATTGGCTCGGGGCGAGCCCTTTTCTACCGACAGCCCATGAGCTTGGGCGAGGAGACTCGCGAGGGATAGGAGCGACCTAAGAAGCATGGTGAGGACGACGGGCTAGGGGCACTGGAACGCAAGACCAATGAGCCAACTCTGGGACAGAGAGCAGCGCTGACCGACATCTTGGAGCAGCTTGGAGTTGCAGGGCATTCTTTTTAAGACTATCTCTGGAGGGTTGCATTTGTCCTTGCATTCTCGGGCCAACTGCTGCGAAGTCAGCAAGCTAAGAAGAGCAAGCTGCAGTGCACCGAAGCTGCTTCCAGGTTAGGAGACGAGGAACGCAGTGATGCAGGGCCAGGGACGAGGAGGACAGCTTGTGATGGGTGCCTCCTTGAGGGGGATGATCGGCGTCACATAGACCGAGGCTGGAATCGAGTGGCTCAGGCACCGCTGGAAGATCTCGTCGAAGCTTCAGACCGAGATGCAGGAACCAGGCTCAGCAGGGCATAGCATCACGTTAGCATTCGGCCATATTGTCCTGGTTCTTCCATGGGTGCGTGGAGATTGGAGAAGGCGGGGAACCTGGGGAAGGCCATGCTCTGCAGTGAGTTGACGGACGCCACGGCCCTGACGTTCGGCCCGGCGTGTGGGGAATCCAGGCCCAAGAGAGCTAAGTTTAGCAACTGGGACCCCGGGGAACCAAAAGAACAGCGTCGTGTCGTGGTTTCGGGGTAATCAGGAGCAACCTACCTGGTCTTGGGATTCTGCTGTTAGTTGAGAGCTTCTGGCTCATCCTCGTCACCATCATCATCAACGCCCTCACCAGCCACCGCAAAGTGGGAAAGTCGGGGTGAACGTCCATGTATGGGCCACCCTATGTCAGCAACAACAGCTGGAGGGAACGGAAGAACAAGACTCGGTAGAGATGAGCTGGCTGAGTGACAGGTGAAAGACTCGCATGATATGAGAGTACAGAAGGAGACTGAGGTGACCATATGGTGTAGAAGTGGGTGAAGGGGGCCCTCTGGAGCTGGATCTGGGTCTGGGCACCGAAGGCATTGGACTCGCTCCGGCACAGCTTGCCCGGTCCCGGCCCGCGAGATGAAAGAATATGCCTCCAATTTGGAGTTCATCGTGATGTGGCTACTAGAACTACTGATGTCCCATGTGAACCGATGGAAAAGGATCGTCCCTAAGCTTCTATTTCCTCTCAAGAGGCGAGGCAATGATGGATGTGGCCCGCCGGGCTAGATAAGAAGAAGACAGAAGAGAAAGGACCAACCCAGTGCATCAATTTGATACGTATAAGTGAGGTAGACAATCAACAAAGTAAATTTGTAGTATGGTGTAAGAGCGGAGGATGATGTATAGGTATAGAATAGAATCTATCCCGGTGGGTCTATTCATGCCGCCTTGAATCATCAATAACAAGCTACCTTATAGTTATAGCCATAGCTGGCTGGAGTGCTGCGTGTGTTGATGGTGATGGCTTCTTTCTTTGGCATGTTGTAGGCACCTGCCAGTTTGGGAGCAAGGAACCATGGCAATCGCGATAGCCTCCCAACAGAAAAGGGGAGAAGGAGCCAGAGCCGCTGATGGAAAAGAGAGGGGGAAGGGAGGAGCGACGGATCGACTCCTGCCTACAAACGTGGCTTCACTTCGAAGAAGTAAACACCTTCGGCCAGCTGCTGCCACCCGCAATGACACTGGCAATATGGATATACCGGTAGGTATTACATACATTACATTATATTCAATTGGGAAAGGAGTTGTATATGATATCTGTAGGTAGCGTACCTTTAATTCCCTTGGTAGGTACATAGGTATGGGGTTTCCGCTCTTTCTTGTTGTCGCTTTTACATGTCTTTGCGTTCTAAGCTCTTCCTGTTCCTGTTCCTCTTCCTTTCCCTCTTCCAGGTCAGTCCGGACTGTCTTCATTTACCCCTGCATCAAGACGGCCTGTACGCCTGCAGGCCGCTGCCTTCACAGTTGGGCTTTTCTTGACGTGTTTCCACACTGCTTCCGCCGAGTCGAGGTCTGAGAGCGTGGCAGCCTTCTGTCGATCCACCAAAGACAACCCGGAATACTGTAATGTAAGGAGGCAGGGAAGCAGGGTACTGGGATTTCGTGCAGCAGCAGCAGTAGCTGCAACGCTGACACCGGCCTATCAGAACCATGCCAGGTACTCTGAAGACGGATCAATGCAAGGGAGCCCGGCCTAGCCCAGCCCAGCAAGCGAAAGCAGGCCCGTGTCGAGGCCTGTTCTATCATGTGAGAATGTTGAGAGATCCTCTTTGGGGGCACAGAGTCCACTAAATGCCCACCCCGCTCGCTGTCATAGCAACGACTTAAAGGGGGGGGAGAGGGCCTACGCCTGCAGTAACACGCTACCTTACCTAAATATTGGGCGACTGCGAGCCATAACAACTCTGGACTCAAGTTCCCGCTTTGATAGTTAACAAGAAATGTATCTTTGGGCACTGCAGATAGACTTGGATTAGGTAACGTTATCGCGAGGCCTGAGCCACAGGGGGAGGGTCCGCTGACTTCGACTACCTGTACCTTTTCTTAATTAGACTCCGATTCTGCGTGCGTGGTGTGTGTCAGTCTGTTACGGGTAATGGATGGGTGGGGGTGCGCTCTGGGCCTCTCAGAGGCTTTGGCTGGTGTCAACTTTGGATTTTGAATGTTGCTTGCTCAAGAGGACCGAGCGCGTCAGTCGTGCAGTCGTGTGGGCGTGTGGGCGTGTGTGTGAGTGTGTGTCCCTGGCATACACTAAGTTAGCAGACTAGCAAACAATCTAGCACAAGATACGGTACATGTACACCACTACATACCACATACCACATACCTAGGAGCTACCATGCAGTAGGTAGCATCGTGCCGTCGTGATCAACACCCAACTGTCTGTCCCGAACTTCATCCCGCTCGCCTGCACGCTGATCATTCCCTGTGGCATCCCCCAAGATGCTTCACTAACGACGTCCTGAACGATTCGAGATCTCTGCTCTCTCGGCCTTGTTGTTGCGACAGCCTCTCCTCCTGCCTTGCGCCACGTCGCCCTCATGGCCAAAGACACGTCGCCTGCTGCAGCTGTTGCTATCGCGACGTAGGGGTTCCCAGAAACTACACACAACACAATACAACACATCACCATAACCATACGATACAACACAACGCATACACTTCGAGATCGTTCCGCGCGCCTTCCCTCGGCCTAGAAAGGGGAGGGAAAACACCAAGCAGAAACAAGACACAAATCCCCTCCGCGCGTCGGCTTGTTGCCGGATGTCAGGTCCGCCTTGACTGGCTACACCACCTTGAACACCGTCTACAATGGACGGCGACGACACAAATCCTCCAGCCAGCCCCGAGTCTCGCCCGCAAACCGCCCACCGCGTCCTGCGACGAGTCCCCGGCAGCTTCAACGAAGACGACGGCATCTCTCCCACAAAGGAGAACTTTGACGATGTCTCAGTGCCGCAGCCTCCTTCCAAACCCGATACCCAGAGCAAGCCAGCTCTAAGTTCCGAAAATATCCCATTCCTTCATCCTCCCATCGAGAGCAGTTTCGCAGAAGGCCCGAGCGCTCTGGATGGGAAGCACTCCGACTCCTTTACTGAACAAGTCGTCCGAGAACACCTGCAGGACGTCGAGTCCAGTTTCGCCATCCCTCTGTCTCCGATCCCCACCATTGTTCCCAACGGCGTCGACGACACCTTTGTCTTCGACTCGCCCACCAAGAACCGTCCCGTGCAGCCTGCTCAATCTTCGCCGCGCCACAAGCCGTCCGCCCCTATGCCCACGCCGCCGGCCGACGTGGCACCCGGCAACCTGCAGACCCTCTCGCCCGTCAAGGAAGAAGACGACCACGACAGTACGCAGAACAGCCATACTACCTCATCGCTATCCCTTGAAGCATTCTCCTCCCCAACCACAGCCGCCGCAGCACGGACCATATCGAGGGCTTTGTCACAAGCGAGTAGTGAAAAGAATGATCTCGGTTATGACTCTGGCACGACAGGGGAGAGCCCTCCCAAGTTCGACCGCTCGGTCGATGACTCGCTGCTGAGATCTGATTACACTTCGGGCGGTAGCTTACGGCACCAGAGCTCGGATATCAGTTTGCGCAAGCTGTCGGTGGATGCAGGAGGCACGCCAGGTCACGCGCTCAAGGGCGGGAAGCGACCAAAGTACTTGCGCAGTAGGAACGCCAGCCAACGGTCGTCCGTATCATCTTTCAATACGAACGACGATGTGGACAGCGACGTCACGGTGGGCTTGGGCGCCGACTACGCTCTCCAGTCTGGCGGCGCCGTACCATCGCTCCCCCTGTCGCGGAGCACGAGCAACATTCTTTCACGGTCCATAAGCATAGGCAGCATGGCGTCCGGGATCGATGATTTTCACGACTCCTCGGGCGGAGGACTTGGTCAGCTGGGCACATTGGACGAAGACGATGACCGCATGGGCTATCGGCGTACAAGCGGACGGGACGACGACGTGCTGCGAACGCCCAAGGCTAAGGGCTCTCTGGCCGCACCCACCGACACCGTCATTGCACGCCACGTGCGGAACGTCCAGGTCCCCGAGTCGCTGGCAAGAGAATACAGGACAAAGGGTGGCCTCGTCACGCCTAGAAAGCCGTCTGAGTTCAGCATTGCCTCTACACACACGCGCCAGAAGGAGGAAAAGAAGGGCATGACGCTTAAGGAACAGAGCAGCACGATAGAGCGGCTCTCTAAGGAGAACTTCGACCTTAAGCTCAAAGTTATGTTCCTGAGCGACAGACTTGGCAGATTATCCGAGGAAGGTGTTAAGGAGATGATTTCGGAAAACGTCGAGCTCAAGACTGGCCTTGCTGTTTTGCAACGAGACAACAAGGTCCTCCGCCGCCGTGTCAAGGAGCTCGAGAAGCAGATGAAAGACGACAATGAGCGTCCTGGCACTGCTCACAGTGGCGCATCCTCCAATGGCCAGACAAACGACTCGTTTGAACAGGACGCCCAGGAGCGCGAGGAAGAGCTGATATTTCTTCGGGAGCGCGTGGACGAGTACTTCACAGAGATCGAAAGGCTTAGGAACGAGAACATGTCCAAGGAGGCAGAGAAGCGACGCATGGCTGATGTTGTCAAATCCCTGCAGAACCTGAGCGAGAAAAATGTTGGCGATACCCTAGCGCGTCAAGACGACGAGACCGATGTCTGGAAGAGCCTCCACGAGCAGGAAGAGGCAAGGCGGATACAAGTCGATGAAGAAAACCGGAGACTTCGAGAAGAGCTATCGCGGTTGAAACAAGAGTTGACTGGCGGCAACCCTGGAGCCGGTCTGCATCACACCACAAATATCTACAACATCACGAAGAAACCGAGAACATCTTCCCCTACACGGCCCGTCTCGGGCATGTCCGGTGAGACGGATCAAATGAACGGCAGTCTCAGCGCGGCCACAACCCTGGTAGAAGAACTGCGCCGAGAAAGCGAGCAGCTGAGGCACGAGAACGCGGAGCTGCGCCGAGAAGTAGGCGCCCAGACTTCTATGCTGACGTCTAGAAATCGGGAGAAGGAGCGGCTATATCAGGAAATCGAAGACCTCAAGATACAGCAGCGCCGCGGCGGACCTGCACCATCCACCATTGATAGCATCCTGGAACGATCCGCATCCCGCGCCGGCGTGCACGAAAGGTCGCAATCGCGCGCCAGTGGCGGCACTCGTGCGGCTACCACGATTGAGGATCCAGAGCGCGAGGAGATGGAAAACAAGATGTCGGAGATGCGCGACAAGATCAACGAGATGAAGCTGCAGAACCAGGACTTACAGCGGGAACTGGACTCTTGCATGCAAGACTTTGAGCAGGCCATTGAAGGGAAGAAGCAAGCAGAGCAGACAGTCCTGGACCTCGAAAATGAGCTTGAAGGTGCTATGAATGATCTGATGCAGATTCAAGCAGAGAGAGACGAGGCCCTACAAGATCAGGCGGCTCTGGAGCAGGAGTTCAATGCTTTGAGGAAGGAGGCGCAGGAAGAGTTGGATGCTCTCGACGAGACTGTGGAGCAGAAGGACGCAGAGATTCAACGGCTACAGCTCGAACTCAATGACAGATCGGAGAATTTCGACGCACTTCAAGACGAAATGCGCAAGATGAGCGAGGCACTCATACGCCTCGAGGACGAGCAGGAGAACAAGTTGCGCAGGATACGGCAGCTCGAACAGGATCTGGGCGATGCTAACAAGGAGCTTGAGGATCTGGAAGCTAAGCTGCTAGAGTCGAATGACAAAGGACAGCGCTTGAGCGTCCAGCAGGAATCAAGCCAAAACGAGATTGCCTTCCTCCGCGAAGAACAGGAAGGTGATAAGATTCGCATAGGCGACCTGGAAGCTGCGCTCGCGAACGCCGAACAGGTCATTCGCGAGGAGAAGGAGCGTGCTCGTGAACTAGACCAACGTCTCGCCACTGAGCGCCGCCAGCGTGAGATTGTGGCCGGCAGAGAAAAGGAGGAAGTCCAACAGGTTGTCAACCAGCTCAACAGAGAGGCCTCGGCAGCGAAGGACGAGTCGAGGAAGCTGAGGAAGAACTTGAGCAAGCAAGAGGTTGAGGCTGCTGAGTGGAAGGAGAGGTTGCTTGAGCTGGAGAGCAATCTTCGTGAGGCGCTTGGAGATCTCAACGGGACGAGATCAAGCTTCCTCAGGGTAAGTGATCTTCTTTCCAGTCTTTCAGTTGTAGATTAGTACTAATAACAATGTAGGATATTGCGAAGCTCCAGCACGACCTCGACAATACCGTCCGGGAGCTTGATAGCACCCGAGCAGCGCTCATGGAGAAGGATCGCATCATCAAGCAGCGCGATGGTCTCCTGGAGTCTCATGGGCTGGAATCCCGCAAAATTGCTGAGACGTTGGATAAAGAGCGCCAGGCACACCGCAATACAAAGAACCAATTCGAAGCGTTCCAAAAGACGCACAACCACGTCAACCGGAATATGTCGAATGCCGAGACCAGAATACTCGAACTGGAGACAGCCAAGACTCAAGACAAGAAAAGAATCGCCACCCTCGAAGCGACCTTCAAGGAGCAGCTCAACGAGCGAAATAGCCTGTTGCTTGTTCTCTGGACGAGACTGTCCTCGCTTTGCGGAACAGATTGGGCCCATGACAATAGCCTCATCAACGGTCGTGCGCTGCCGTCTCTCGAAGCTGTTGCAACAATGCTGCCCGGCTTCAGCAAGAATCTCCTTGCTGCGGTCAAGACCATTGAGTCCATCGTTGGCACTTTCCAGGGCCGCGTTAAAGGCGTCGAGAAAGAACTTTGGAAAGAATACCAAAACTTGGAAGGCAATCTTGACTCACGCATCAAGAAGCTCGATCGTCTCGAGGCTATCGTACGAAGCGGCGTCGCTGCAGGCACTATTGGCGGTGGGCCAGCACTGCAAGAGGCGCAGAGCAGGCTCGCCAGGTTAGAAGATGCGTATCGTCAGCTGAAGGTTGAGAATGCTACTCTCCGGACAGCTAGTGAGGTTCGTGCCCGTGCGGCCTACGCAGCCACCGGGGATCCTACTGCGATAATTGGAGAGGGAGTTGGAGGTGGCAGTCCTAGTCCGTCGATACCCACCGGCCCCAGAGATCGTACTAGAGATAGATCACAACGGCGACCTGGCACGAGGAGGGAGAACAGCCGAACAAGCACTATGACGCGGACCCAGACCGAGAGGACATTAAGCGCCGGAGAGCTTGCGCTAGCGGGCGACTTGATGAATGAGGAGGGCGCAGGATACGGCATCGATAATACGAAGTGGATGCACCGACTCAAAGACTTGGAACTGAAGCTCAAGGCCGAAAGGGAAGGTCGTGCTCTTGACCGTAATGAGGCAAACAGGAGGATCAACACTCTCGAGCAGATCACCGACCAGGCAAGAATGCGCGAGGCGAAGGAGGAGAGGCGAAGACAGCTGGAGAGAGGTGGATGACGGCCTTGACTTGTGTGAATTTTTCTTGTACTTATTTCCCGCTGTATGAATAATGCATCGTCAGGCACAGGAGGGTCATTATATGGTTACATCGACTTTACCGCAACGACAAACATATTATCTGGGACGTGGCGCTGTTCGAGCCTATACTATACGGCTTGACATGGCTGGCTCAGGTCTGAAGTTTTCTGGAGAGTTTATGCAGCATATGTACTTGTATTAACAATGACTACCTATTGATCGATTTGAAACTCATAACATGGCATCGTCTTCTTTTCCGATGAGTCCTCGAAACAGATTGCTCTCATGTTCTATGCAGCTACTTGAACCGTGCCGTCAGTGCCCGGGCGAGGCGCACCAGTTGCCTTAGTCCCCATAAACCCGCCAGTTACCAAGTTCAGCGCCGTCTGGAAGGGATCGCCGCCGCTCTTGCTGGCAGAGGCCAGTCCAGCTGCTTCAAATGCCTGCTCAAAGTCGCGCTTGATGTCTTCAAAATCCTCGATACCGACTGATACGCGAATCAAATCAGGGGTCACTCCACCCTTGATCTTCTCCTCGTCTGGTAGCTGTTGATGGGTTGTCACCCACGGGTGAATGATGAGCGTCTTCGCATCCCCGACATTCGCAAGGTGTGAGCACATCTTCAAGCTGTCAACGACTGCGCGGACTTGATCGATGTTGCCAGCCTAAGGACGTAGTTCATGTCAGCACGTCTATGTATCTCACAGAAGTCACGAGTCCGGGCAGTCAGGGGTAGCACTTACCACTCCGAAGGTCAAGACACCTCCAGCACCGTTAACGAGCGTCTTTTGTGTGTAGTCGTAATCTGGATGCGATTTCAATCCTGGGTACAGCACCCAATTTACGCTGGAATGAGCCTCCAGCCACTCGGCCAGCTTCTGCGTGTTTTCTGCGTGGCGTTGGCCGCGCAGCGCCAGTGTCTCCAGGCCTTGCAGGAACAACCATGCGTTGAATGGGCTCATGCATGGGCCAAGATCCCGCATGCTGTCCATCCGCAGCTTAGCTGCCAGTGCCTTGTAGCCGTAGGTATCCCAGAAGCGCATGCCATGGTATCCATCAGCCGGCTCCGTGAAACCTGGGAACTTGCCTGATGCGCTCCAGTCAAAATGGCCACCATCGATCACGATGCCGCCCATTGATGTGCCGTGGCCACCAATCCACTTGGTGCATGAGTGCGTCACGATATCAGCCCCGAGCTTGATGGGCTTGCAGAGATAGCCTCCCATGCCAAATGTGTTATCGACAATAAGCGGGATACCATGCTTGTGGGCTACTGCAGCAATGGCTGCGATGTCAGGGACACTGTGCTTGGGGTTGCTGATCGTCTCGATGTAGACCGCACGCGTGTTCTCGTCAATGGCCGCGTCGATATCATCCGGCTCATTGCCTACGACCCACTTGACGTCGATGCGGAACTTCTTCATGTAGACGCGGAATTGGTTGTATGTGCCTCCATACAGCCACGATGTGCTGACGAAGTTGTGCCCCGGCTCACAGCAATTTGTGAGAGCCATGAACTGCGCTGCATGGCCAGACGCAGCGGCTACAGCACCAACACCACCCTCAAGCATTGCCATGCGCGTTTCGAAGACAGAGTTGGTGGGATTGCCCATGCGGGTGTAGACATAGCCATCTTTGCTCCATGCAAACTTGCTAGCACCATCTTCAAACGAAGAAATCATTTGTTAACAACCACAATTCATACGTTAAGATCGAAGTGAGGCATACCGGCGGCATCAGAGAAGTTGTAAGCAGCGGTTTGGTATAGAGGCACAGCGCGTGAACCATTGACCGGGTCGGGTTCCTGACCACCGTGGACGGCTAATGTGGAAAACCTGGGTTCCCTTTGCCACAATGGTCGTGTAAGCGGCGGACTGAGCTCTGGGCCTGGAATGTGTAGACTTAGAGGTGAACTTACCAATCGACATTACTAAGGGATCCTGACACAGGCATGTTGCTCAAATTGTTGATTTGAAGTAAAAACCAATGTTACACTGATCGAATGAAAACTACCAAGTCACAGGCCTCCTCAGGCTCGTCGTCAAGTTCTCGTGCTAATCACCGATGCCTGGAGAATCTCACGCATCTTCCAACACAACAATACCGCCCGTTTAAATGGTTTACAGCTTTCATTGAAATAGCGCTCATGTATCTATCTTCTTGATACCGAATTCTTTGTGTATTCTTCGGTGTACGAAAGTTGCCCTTCAAATCTCGCCCCGGTCTTTGATGGAGCGCGGCGTGGAGAGCTGATAAGAGAGACCAAATCCCGAGATCCCTACCCGCATTACTCCCATCCTCTCCGCCTCAGAACCCCGGATTCACAAGCCAATGAGAGGAGTAAGCAAGTTACACAAGATAAACGCCGGTCTGACCAGTCAGTTCATTTCTACACCATATCAGACCATGAACACCATGGACGATTCTATCGCGCTCCTTATCTGATCTGCGTGAATTGTTAGCCGGACCCTTCTCGGCCTTCGGGACAGAAAAGGGGAGAGTGAATTACCTCTCATGCCCCCGAGCGCCTCAAACGCCGTAGCATAGTTTTCCAGGGTGGCAAAGATAGACGTCAGCCCTTGCTGGAGCCGCACTAGGAGGCTGCCGACAAGGGGACTTCCCGCCGCGCTTTCGGGATATATCGACTTCGTCTTGTGGTGTATCATCAGCAGGGAATAGGCGCACTGCATCGCGCAGCAAGCAAAGGACGGCATTGTCCGCGGAGCTATGATGCTGGAGCTCGGAGAAAGTGGGACCGGAGCCTGACTCAACTGGCCCGATGGATTGGCGTATGGAAGGTTGTCAAAGGCTTGCGCGATATTGAGCGCTGCTTTCAGGCAGACTTTGGCTGAGTGGTGGCTGCTAAAGGGGAAATTGACTGCTGTGCCTGGGACAGTCGCAAGCATTCCACCATCTGATGAGGGAGGACTTGTTGATGCAGCTGATGTTGATGATGAAGCACCTGGTAGGCTCGTAAAAGAGCTGCATGAGCAAGCTGGCCACTTTCGCGGTTCCTGGCTGTCCACACTCTCCGACTTGGTGGACTTGAGATCACAATGTTTGGCCGAGAACACCGGCATATCGAAGAATGCGCAGTAACGGTGAACCTTGATTCGTGCACTGTGTGATGATCTTAGAAAGAGTGTTGTAGAGAAGAGATGATGTTCACTTTGTATCACTGACCTGTTCACCTTGATGCGAGCCATAGACCTGAGTGATCGGGCAACGACTTCTTCTGTCGAGTCCACTGACGAACTGGTGGTAGATGGTAGGATCCAAGTATCACTACGATCACAAATGGGGCCGAGAAACAGCTCGAGTTCTCTCATTCGGTCGTAGATATGGCTCATATCACTGTTTGCCTTAACTGCGGCATTAAGCTCGATAACAAACTGTGTTGCGCTGAGGATTGCTTGTTGAGCTTGGATGTATAAAGCGAATGCCTAGAGACTTATCAGAATTCGGTCCCGTCCCATCGTTCTCTTGCAGAGGACAAGACTCACCTCCGGGTCAGCCTGTAAGACCGGATACTTGGTAGTGAAGCTCGGTGTGAAGATAGCAAATGATGGTTTCTTAAAAATTGTTCAATTAGCACGGCGAGCAGTTTGCTTAGGGCAATAATGATTCTTACTGTGTTGCTGACTATGGAGCCCTGACAGACGCATACATACTGGATGTTTGTCAGCTTTATGCCATGTGTATCGACTATAATGAATGGCGTCGACATACCGTCATCCACCAGACTCGGCGTTTGGCCTCGTAGAAAATGTCCTCTTCGTTACATGCATGTATCGACAAGGCCATGGCAGACATGAGGGCTTGTCCAGCCCTATTTTGCATCTTCTTGAGGTTGCCTCGTTGCGCATACTCATAGACGCTGAGGATGTCGAGCGCGATGATGCTCTCTAGCTCTATTGGCACTAGGGGATGGAAAGGTGCTCGAGCAGGATCAACGGGCGACTCGCTCAAGGCTCTCGGAGGCTCGACTGATGAGTCGGGAATCTCATTCTCAATCTCGATACTCTCCACTGCTGATTGGGCCAAGTATTGTGAGTATTTGCGGCGGAAAACCACAGCCTCGTGACTCAGATGATTCAGATCATTCGCGCAGGGAATGAGAGCAAGTATGGCTGAGATCGCTAGGCTAATCGGGGATGAGGGCTCGAAGCCCTCTTCAAAGTCTTCGACGTGATTTTGAAGATGAGGCACAGCTTGATCGACAGGTATAATTGAGGGAGGAGGAAGGATAGGAAAATACGGATGAATGAATATGTAGTAGGCATCGAGGCTGTTTGCGCATGAGCATCCCATTGATCATTGGCTCCCTCATCCGACATAGGAAAAGAGAGACTTACATAGCATCGTCACTTTTATAAGTCCGGACCATGGGAATTGGCTGTACAGGAATTGATGGTTGCTCCAGCATCGCATCTCCGTATGTCGCATCTGGAATGCCTGACATGAAGAGTGAGTCGAAGATGAAGTCGCTATCCTGGAACCAGTCCTCAAGTTGCTTCAAGCCCGCACCTGGATCGATGTAATTCTGAATCGAGATAGCTGTACGGTACTGTGAGCAAGCGCGTTGATGGTATTGGGGTAACATGTTAGAAGTCTCACGTTCAAGTGGCACATCGGGCATCTCATCTCGCACAACATTGTCCATCTCACTTGAGATGCCTTCACCTGGCTGCGCGGACTCTTCAGATAGTCGAGGCTTCCTTCGACCCCTTGGGCCGCCTCGCCTGCTGGGCTTGTAGACGCATTCGCGACATCGACTCTGACACTGAGCATGGGCTTGCGTTAGCATCAAGGTTGGAAATAGCAGCAATGAACGGCAGCCCTTAGGCTGCATGCAGGCGTGAGGGCGACATACAGTCGCGCATGGCTTTCCACCATCACATCTGGTACGAGAAGCCCGGCTACAATCCGGTCAGCGTGAATCCTGGCCGTGGCCGAAGAGGGTCTCCTGTTCACCGACACGGGCAAGCTACACCGAAGCTTCCCCCAGTTCGGCGATCTCGGAGGCCCGCTGCGGGGTCAGAGGGAATCCTCACCATGAGAGACAAGCGTTCTTCACTGGCGGGACAGCGAACTTCTTCCTGGCAACGGCAGGCTGCTGCTGTGCAATTACGGACTCGGTCATGGCTCTCGGCGCTAATAAGCGACAGACGGCATGCGGCTCTGCTCTGCTCTGTTGGTCGGGACTGCTCGTTGATACGTAATGAGAAAGGAGAATGGTGGGAGAAGGATACTTCTCAGTCAATCCCTCCTGTCTGCGGCCTCATCGGTCGCTGCCCATAAAGAGTTTGACGAGGGTTCCAGGGCGGAATCGAAAACACCCGAGTGGTGGCGCAAAGCACCTCAGCACTGTACAGTACCTATCCAGTGACCTATCAGGGGAAATTGTGCCTGGTCTAGGCTTACTGGGCGCGGATGTGGGTGTGTTTCTCTTGATAAGCAGATGGGTAGTCAGACCCTCAGATTTCAGCATGTGTTATCTCCGCAAAATTTGCTCACTCATCCATGGCATATTGTACTCCCGTCCTTAGCCAAATTGCTAGCTGATTATCACACCACTAACAAATTACTGGGAGGCAAACAGCATCTTAGGTAGGGACAATATGGCTGCTTTGCTCTAGAAGGGCTTCGCTATTAAGTTAGATGTCTATCTGAGATCTACATTTAAATCATTTGACGCTATTATCCCATAGCAAGATTAAGAATCACCATTGGAAATGAGTGCTTTCTCTTACTCGATAAATTTAACATTCGTGGCTGGTTTCGTGTTGACTGTTAGAGTGCTAGGCTTGTTAGTGGTGACACATGTTTCGCAACATTGGGAGCTCTGAATACTTACAAGATATCTGGCCTTGAATAGCTTCCAACGGGATCAAAGTCAAGCTACATCTATTGTTAACATCTGAGCAATGAATGGAGGCGTTGGCGGTCGACGTACTCTTGATTCACTAATATCTTCCATCCTGAGTTCTGCGTATACGATGTCCTCTTTGTCCCAGACTGGAGCCGCTAGGAACGTCCCCAGAGGACCAACGATACATGACCCACCATGATTGACAATATCATCTGGCTCCCATCTTGTGCCATCCGGCTTGCGATCATAATGCTCCGCAGTGAACGGTGGGTAGTCAGATGGGAAGTCAGATACCTTACACACTGAGTTTACTGACACTACAAAACAACGGCCTTCTTTGGCAATATGTTGCATTGTCGCGGTCCAAGCCGGTAGGTCATCAGCGTTGGGGGCAAGGTAGATTCTACCATGCCATTAGCTTACAAGTCATTCACCAGACCCCCATACGACTCGCAACGTACTCGATTCCTTGTTGGTAGAGCGCCATTCGAGCTGCAGGCATATAATTCTCCCAACTAAGATCATCAGCATCCTTGAGAAGCATCATGCAGGCCACACTTACCAAATTAAGCCACCGACTTTTCCCACCTCCGTTGTGGCGACATCAAGTCCATCTCCAGAACCTCGACCCCAGATAAGTCTTTCTGCTGCAGTTGGGATCAGCTGCGCCTGTTAGTTTTAGCTCTTGTAAGAATGCTCTGGTGCAATACTTTTCTGTGTTTCAACAATATCGACCCATCTCGGCCCAGCAGGAGTGATGTGCAATAAAGGGTTCCACCCTCTTTCTCAATGACTCCAACTTGCAAAAGGACATTGTGCGTCTTTGCGGAATCTACAAGGACATCGAATGCAGGCGATGGCATAGACACAGCGGAGTTGTAATATCTAGCATACCAGTGACGGCCTTATTCATGTTAGGAAGGTGTCAACACCAGGAGTATGAAGAGAATATCCGAGCAACACACCGCGAGGATCTCTAGCGCCTATAGTAGCATCGAATGCATAACGCCATGGGTATGCAGATAAAAATCCTTCTCTAAGATGGTGGAATAAGCAAGCCAGCAACGGTCAGTGTCGCAGCCAATGAACTCACGGGAAGACAATGAGATCAGCTCCAGCTGCTGCTGCCTCGGCAGTCAGTCTAGTCAGTTTGTTGAGACTCTTGTCTAAATCAAATGACACGGGGGCCGCCTGAACGGCGGCAACTTTGACAATCGGCTGAGCTGGATGCATGACGGCTCGGTATGTTTTGAATATCGGCTACCAATCTCCGGTCTCCATTGCGTCTCACTGCAAGATAGCTACTCTTGCCTTTATCGTTGTTTCGACCTACGATCGGTGTTCGAATGAATCGAAAACGGTGTTCATTCCTTCTGGATTCGGTCATCGTCTGGTGCTAACATTCCCGTCGAGAGAGACCGAGATGGGCTCACTCCCCAAATCCCGAGTCGCCTCTAATCAAAGGCCGAAGATAACAACATCAGCTTCAATCCTTTGTGTGTAACTCAGCATCTCTACGCATGCATTGAAACCACCCACAATAGACAGTTCGTTTACGCATGAGATGATTCTTATCATGTCTGCACGTCTTCCTACATCGATAATGGCAATGCAGCCCCTGAGTCGAGCCGTCTTAGTCGAAGTGGAAGTCTCGTAGTCATTTATGCTACAAACATCCAGCCACAACCACACTCACGACTGAGAGCCAAATCAATCTTTCACCAATAGGGGCCCTGCAGCCTATTTAGATAGAGAGTCAATCCTAGATCGATAATTCGACCTCGTCGACTTTGATTTCCTCATCGGTGGCAATGGCTTTACGTGAGTCTTATGACGAAGAAACCAAATTCATACTGCTTGAGCTAAGACGTACAGTCCTTGATAACAATCCGAACCCTAACAATCCGTACTCGAGGCTCATCCATGGTCAAAAGTTTGCCTTGATCCCATCCCTTCAACTGGAATCGGGTCAGTGCCTAGAAAATTGTGCTGTGGCGTATAAGACATGGGGTATTCTGAACGATGCCTGCGATAACGTCCTTGTTATCTGCCATGCGCTTTCTGGAAGTGCAGATGTCAGTGACTGGTGGAATCCGTTGATAGGTCCTGGAAAGGCATTTGATCCGCGGCATTTCTTCATCTTCTGTGGAAATGTGCTGGGATCACCATACGGCAGCGCTTCCCCTCTAACTGTTGACATCCACAATGGGATAGCGTATGCCAGCGACTTTCCACAAACTACGATCAGAGACGACGTGCATGCTCACAAGTCCGTTCTAGACGCACTCGGAGTCAGGTCTATTGCGGCAGTCATTGGAGGTTCGATGGGTGGAATGACCACACTTGAGTGGCCCCTTTGCACGGCTCCCGGTTATGTTCGAGGTGTTATTCCAATAGCCACGGCGGCAGATCACAGTGCTTGGGGCATATCATGGGCAGAGGCGCAGAGGCAGTGCATATATGCGGACCCCAAGTTTGAGAACGGATATTATGAACCCACGCCGGAGTCACAACCGTCTATGGGTTTGGCAGCAGCTCGAATGGTCGCCATGTTGACTTATAGATCTTGTGTGAGCTTTGACAACCGCTTTGGCCGAAAACCCTCTCGCGCACTAAGCAGTCCTCCTTCAGAACCTCCCCTGGACCTTCCGCGGACAGAGACACCCTTTGTTCCTACTTCAGACAGGGAGACAAGACGGTCAACTCCCTCAGTTTCCCAGAGGAAGCCTTCGTTTTCAGCACAGGGGTATCTGAATTACCAAGGCGAGAAATTTGTGAGACGATTCGATGCGAATTGCTATCTTCACTTGACAAATAAAATGGATAGCCACGATGTTGTCCGTGGACGAGTTGAACATAACTTGGAGCCCACGGACAATGACTTACAACACGTCTTGGCCCGAGTGCCATCAGGTGCATTGGTCATCGGCGTGGAAACTGATGCACTATTCCTCCCAGAACAACAAGAGCGTCTGGCATCATGCCTACCCAATGCTACTTTGAAAATGCTTACGTCGACAGACGGTCATGACGGGTTCCTTCTTGAGTTTGAACAACTAGACAAATTGATTCAGGATAAGTTACGCAGAGACTATCCACATATGTACAATCACATACATGATACGGTAATACCAGCAGAGAAAATAGAGGTGAAGGAAGAGAGCCTGGTAGGCGAAGTCGAGCATTGGTGACTTGCCTCAACATAATAAATAGTACAAATTTACCTCAATGATTAGAAGCATGTATAGTTTAAGTACCGATTATTTACTATCAATGTTGTATCACATCTGGTAAATGAAACCCATACCTGAGTACAATTTTTCGACGAGTGATTCGTGCACTTTCAGTACATGATGATACAGTTGAACATGCTCCAAATGCTATAGGGCAAGGTGACTGGAAACGGACTGTGAGGGCTGTGAGGGCTGTCGGCGTGCCTTGCAGTGATGTCCTGAAAATGAAAGCCGGCGAGTTCTCAAAACCAGGCAGGGCGTTTTCATGATCCGCGAAAGTGGGCCGAGATTCTCAAATCCCGGATCGGGGTCTGCGCCGAACGCTGGCCATCGCCACAACTCTGTGCATAGATCGCTCACCCATCGCCGTGGTTCAAAAGTTTGAGTGCAATGCAATGACACAGTGTCATCCGTAGTCAAACATCTGCCAACTTGTCTACAATGGAAGCAGTATATCTCGTGCCGAGCCCTTGATCAGCCTACTCACCACCACCTTTCCCTTATCTCAGTTATCTAACGCTAATCCTTCTCCTTGTCTGATCATTTGCACTAGGAGCCTTTCGCAGATAAACTCTAGTGACATGGGTGCAGCTATTATTGAAAAGCCATGGCTTGTGCAGAAATACGGCGGCACCAGCCTAGGGAAGCTTCCTGATACGATCTGTGGGAGGATCATCCCATCCTATCTGCAAGAATACAATGTAGCGGTTATTTGCTCGGCTCTCTCCGGAACAACTAAATCCAGCGGAACAACAAGCCTGCTTTTAGAGTGCATTATCCATGCTGAGATAGGCTATACTGCATCAAGCCAACTTAATGATACCATCGACACCATCCGAGATAACCACTTCAGACTCCTGGACCGACATATCGCAAATCCAAATGGCACACATAACGAGATATATGAACTGACAAAGACCAACATTAACGTAGAGTGCGAGACTCTTCGTCGATTTTTACTAGCGGCACAAGTGAGTATCTCAACGCATTATATATCGCTGAAAGCTCACACGGTTCAGATTGTTGGAGAGCTTTCTCCGCGCTCTCAAGACAGAGTAATTGCTCTTGGAGAGAAGCTGGCCTGTGTATTAGTAGCAGCTTTGTTGGCTAGCAGAGTCAGTTTCCCCCGCCGTGCTGACTGAAACTCCTCAATGAGGTCATGCTAACGCAATTTAGGGCATCCCAGCCAAAGTCATAGCACTGGATGATATTGTCGAGTGCGCGTTTGGTCCAAACCTCTATGATCAGAAGGTGGCGTTCGATACTCTTGGTCCGAAATTCTTCCATCGCCTTTCCGATGTGATTGCACAAAAGATCGAGGCATGTAGGAATCATGTTCCTATCATTACAGGCAAGAGCCTCCTACTTGAGTGTAATATCTTTTTAACCTTTCTTGCTGATAAAAGTCCAGGTTTTTTCGGTATCATGCCCGACTCGTTGCTCAAAACTGTCGGCAGAGGCTATTCGGATCTCTGTGCTGCAATGTCTGCCGTCGGGATTGGAGCTGCAGAGCTGCAAATATGGAAAGAAGTTGATGGTATTTTCACTGCGGATCCTAGAAAAGTGCCTGCAGCAAGACTTCTATCTACGGTGACGCCCGAAGAGGCGACTGAGTTGACATATTATGGCAGCGAGGTATGGTTTGATGCTCATTCAGCTAAGATAGCTAAAACGTCAGAGCTGAGCATGCGCGACAGGTCATCCACCCCTTGACGATGGACCAAATCCGACATGCGAGCCTCCCGTTGCGTCTCAAGAACGTCTTCAACCCGAAAGGTTCCGGGACAATCATTTACCCCTCAGGGAGCACCAGTCCGTCTCTTAAATCCTTAACACTGGACTCTGAAGATTCAGAGATCAAGAAAGAGATACCAGATTCAGGATTCATGCTAGAAAACGGCTATCATGGTGAGCAGCAGGAACGACGTCGACCGACTGCTGTGACCGTCAAAGATTTCATCATCTTGGTCAACGTTGTATGCAACAGAAATACGAAATCGCAAGGATTCTTAGCAGGCGTATTTAATAAGCTAGAGGAGAACAAGATGCTGGTAGATTTGGTCACAACGAGTGAGGGGAACGTCAGCCTTGCTATGCAATCATCTGATGGAACGGAAAACCAACAGAGACGACTGAAGGGTGACCTGGAGGAGTTTGGAAAGGTATGCTAGAGACTCGTTTCGGAGTATTTTTTGATGGTACACTCACACATGCCATAGGTCTCGATATCGGAGAACATGTCTATTGTCACGGTTGTTGGACATAAGATGCGGAACATGGTTGGAATCTCAAGTGTGTTCACACGTCAGTCTTCGTGTCCACAAGATACTAATCTAGATGGCTAGGTGAAATTCTCTCAGCTCTAGCTTCGGCGAAGATCAACATATATCTCGTTAGCCAGGGCGCAAGCGAGATTAACGTCAGCCTCGTTGTTCGAGCAGAGGATGCCATACTTGCCATGAATGTCATTCATGCAAAGGTCCTGAAGATTCCAACTCACTGGGAGCAAGAAAACAACTTCATCAAAGGTATGTTGATTCAATGTTTCGTCTTCCTGTCTCTGACCGTGATGCCATAGGACCGTGGCTCTACTGAGATGATTTCATATTTGCCAACAGCATTCATAGGGATTGGGGTGAAATGGTTGGGCATGGAGGATTGTTATCTCGGGCAATGTATAGAAAACGGACCGGATGCATCTGATAAATCACTTAATCGCTACATATCATTCAAGGCTGCAAACCGTTCAGCCAGGCAGCGTACGTGGACCAATCAGGTGGGAGATAGATGAGCTGTCCAGCTCTCGGTGTTTCCGAACATGGCCAGGGCAGTTCTGACTTTCAATTTAAGCATAACATGTTGTAGAGGATACTTTACTGGATTTGGTGTAGGGCTGAGAAGCCGCACTGATGCGGGTCTGTTCCTTCGAGGTGATTTAGCTTGCTGGGTGTCGTACGAATCGCCCTGTTAGCTCGCGTGATAGGCTGGACGGACTGGCTACTGGTCAATCGCTGGCGTCCATTGCGATTAAGACGGGGGCTTATTCCCCCGCAACGCGTCATCCCCGCAGGGGACCGTGAATGCTGTGCCGTAGATTTGGCGCGGATCGGATGCCTCTCTTATGCAGCCCACGTTGGCGGTTACGAAGCTAGAGGGACTTGGATGGGCGTCCTCTTCAGACTCACCAAAGATTAAAAATGTCATACAAACTGCTACATCGTGCCCGAAGTGGAGGCTTCTCTGCTCTATCATCAACCACTCAAAGGGAAAAATTGGTATACTGACAGCTTGAGACTAGCAATCATGGCCGGGTTTTCGGCTGTGTCGGAGTCCTCGCTCTGCACGACCATCTCGCATCGTGTACTCGCCGCTGCAGTCGAACTGGATGAGGTAGATGAAGTGACGCAGTTCTCAGGCCTACCTGACCGCCTTCGAGCCTACAGCAAGGTTGCTGAATCATTAGCGGAGTCCATCACGCGAGCTACCGCTGTCTCGGAGACACTCCAGGAAGTCTTATCGGGGTTTCTCGACAGTTGCGCACAAGCAGCTGCTGTAGTGGAGAAGGAAATCAAGATGGTAGGGTCTGGTCAGGCAAATCCACCCGTCATTGACTCAAGGGCGCTTTCAGAATTTGAGCGCTGGATCGCACTCGCAACCCAGGCCTTTGAGCTTCTTCAAAAATCAACTCAGGTGTGAGTAATGCGTTTTCTGTTTAGTGGCAGTTGATCTTCCAATTACCGTGATCCAAGTCCACTGACAGGTAGTTGTAGGTCAAATTCAACCGAACAGGATGCTATTCTCCGGAGCTCCGGTACCAAGCAGATATTGAAGGAATGCAATCGTGCATCACGCAGCGTGATAAGACTGAGCTCGCAGCTAGTCCAAGATGACGATGATAGTCCTCCAAGATATGGAGACAGCGTCCCTGAGTATCCCAACGACGTGAAGGACCCATCGCTCTTCGAGACCGCGCCCGCTGCAACGTCTGCCTCCCCAGCCGTCGCCGGACCCTCCCAGCCGAAGCAGAACCGAGGGGGGCTCGCCTCCCTTTCGGAAGCATTCAAGGCCATGACTGCACCGTTCCGCTACAAGCCGGAGCCCTTGGTGGTGGCTCTCTGCGAAGCATCTGCTCGTGGAAACATCAACCACATCTCATCTCTGATATCTTCGGGCGCCAACGTCAACGGGCGTGATGAAAGTGGGAAGACGCCCATCGTGCGTGCTATTGAGGGCAAACAGATCGATGCCGTGAGGGAGCTTTTAGACCATGGTGCATCTCGCGAGGCCTGTGATACAGCCAAAAAGTTACCCCCGCTGTTCTGGGCCGCCGAAGGTGGTGATCTGGAAATCGCAGCACTGCTGCTACAACGTGGGTGCGATCCGCGTGAGAAGACGATGTTCAGTAGCTCGTATTTTGCAGACACAGTCTCAAAAGGAAACGTCGAGATGGTGCAACTACTTCTCAACTATGGAGCTGATGTCAACGCCACAGACTCAGTAGGCCGAGGACTCATCTTCCATGCCTATTCGAAAGGATCCATGGAAATGGTTAAGCTACTTCAATCCCGAGGTGCCAATGTGAACGCACGAGACATCTCAGGATCGCCGATAGTTGTGTTAGCATTACAGGATGGTCGCATCGATATGCTGAAATTTCTGCTCGATCACGGCGCTGATGTCAACAGTCACACTATCACAGGATCGCCGCTGCTGATCGAGGCGCTGCAGAAGGGCCGCCTTGACGTGATCAAGATGTTACTCGACAAGGGTGCAAACCCCAATGTATCCGATATCACAGGCAATCCAATCATATTGGTTGTTATCAAGAGCTCAAAGTTCAATGTTCAGGAGAAGACAGAGCTGGCTCGCTTGCTGCTGTCGCGAGGTGCCAATCCCAATGTCTCGGACTCCTGGACCTGGTCGGCTATGAGCTACATAATCGACAAAGGACATACAGAGCTCATCCCACTCTTCATCGAAAGCGGAGCTGATCCCAACCAGACCATCGCAACTGGTGACACTTTACTTCTTTATGCAATCGAGACGAGACAAACCGATCTAGTGGCCCAGCTCCTCAGGCACGGCGCGAATCCAAATGCTGTAGATAAGAAGAGCAGAACGCCACTTATGCAGGCGCTGCGGAAGAGGGACACGGGAGCAGCGAGGTTACTCGTGCAGCATGGAGCAGACCCGAATAAGGAAGGAATGGTCTCGCCGCTCGCGTTTGCTAGAGCTCTGGGCGACGACGACATTGCTGCTTTCTTGTGTACTCACGGGGCAACTCCTGAAGCTGACGATAACATTATTGCTACTCGACCTGTAGTGCCAAATACACAAGCAACTGGGCAGCCTCGAAGGTCGGCAAGATCCAGTCACCCGACTGTGGAGCAGCCGCCGGACTATGACGCCGTCTTGAAACAATAGATGAGCTGAGTTGCGCGAAGTTGTAGTGAAATCAATTGTAAGGGCTGATCTGACATGTTGAGATCGAAGGACAAGTATACTTGTTCGTGATACTTTGGGCGAGAAAGTATGGTACGATATAGGAACAAGGCTGTTACATTGGCGGATGTTTGCTCTAAATACATTCAAAGGTACTGTATAGAGCCATGAGGAATTGATATCTGCAGCCCAAATGGCCATGCTTCGTCCGAGCCGAGCGCTGTATGTGGTTGACGAACTTCTAGCGCTCTCACTGGCCGAGAGTGGTCAAACCAGACGAAGCCATCAAAGTGTCCGGGAAGGATTGCCGAGGAGTAGTGAGACTGCCTTTCCGTGTCAGATCCGTGAATAACATCAATAAATCGTTCTAAGTGACGCTTCATGAGCCCTTCTCACAGCTTTCCGCCACACTTGCCCTGACGCAAATCCAGGCCGAAGTTCTTGATATCAGTGGCATGCGTTAGGTCCTCGTAGCTGTTGGGTAGCCTTGGATTGATCTTCATTATCTGCATGTCAGCGTCCCATCGCCGTCCTGTGGCTACTGTTCCTGTGTAGGTGCCACACCCTATGTCCAGGGCTTGATCCGCATCTGCCTCTTTACACAATTGGCCAATGTTGAGCTCTCCGCGCGACCAGCCCATGCTTGTGGCGCGGGCATCAACGACATGGCTGATGAGCGCCCACACAATGGCCTTCGCATCGTCACCGAGGTGCTCGAGAACGCGAACGAGAGTGGAACATGTGAGAGTCGCGCAGATTCCAGGACTCGTCACCACCATAGTACATGGGCTTGTAGTAATGCTCGGCACCTGTCAGGTGCAAGTTAGTGCTGTGCATTCAAGGCTGATGCCAGAGTTAGTGCCCGTGCAGCGTACCCGCCACTAATCTAGCGTTCTGCTCTCCGCTGTGAAATTCCTCGCTGTTCCAATGGATAGCAGAATATTCTACTCCTCCGCCAGGGTAATAAACGGTAATTTCGTAAAAGGTGAATATATTCAATGCTGAGAGTCGTGACACTTATCAAACTCTCCAATTATCTGTTTATTACTATGGGTCTATCAGCTTCTGAAAGGAGTAATACCTTGTTGAGGAGGTAGTGATACCCTTGGCGAAGTAACATTTATTATCCTGGCGGAGGAGTGGGCGCCCGTTTAGGAGGTCTCTCAGGATTGCGACGACTTCCTTCTCATAGCTCTTGAAGCAGGCCATTATAGCCTCGAGGCCGTACTCCTGCGGGTCGTCAGAGCAGACCAGCAATCTCTCGTAGCGCTCACGCGCAATTGATGCCTTTGCTGGTCAACCTTGTCCAGCTGGATACGCGATGACAGCCTTCATCAACGCGCCGAGCGAGTACAGGTCGAGATCGTAAAAGCCCACGGCATCATGCGGTTCAATGCCCTTGATATGACTCCGAAGCCACTCGAAAAAAATCGTGCACCTCCATGTTCCGCCACATCCACGTAGGGAAACGCAGGAAGGCAGGCTCACCGTCGTCGCGCTCCGACACCCCAATGGGCTGCACACTGGCTTCCGGGCCGGGACCGGCTCTTCGCCAGATTCGGTGGCGATGATGTTGAAGTCGTGGTTCCCAATCATGTACTTTTTGGTAAGCATAATGCAGACAGTGTTAACCTCGGAGGTGCCGTACGACGCGTCTACGATCAAGATGATCCTGCAGTCTTCAGAAGTATTGACATAGCGGGCAAAGGAGGCGCGTGCCTTCTCGAGAGGTGTAAATGGAACAACATTTTGACGTAGCAGATCGACGCCCGATGGCGGCAATGCTTTCTCTGCCGAAAAGCGGCATATCGCGATGATTACGGTCTGTCTGACATATCGAGTACGAATTCTACTGAGCTCTTCACCAGTGATAGGGGTTTGTAGATTCTTCAGTAGGGCGAATGTGGTCGTGAGTTCAAATCAGCTCACGATGGATGTTACATTGAGTCAACAAATAGTCGACAGACAGGTCGTTCTTTCTCATTGCGAGTTATCAGAGTCATACTGGAGTGCAAGCACATATATACGCACACTTTTGACTCTTTCGTTCCTCCTCCCCCAGTATTTACCAATAATATGTCCAGACTTCTCCAATTTACTGGGGCTTTTGCATTTGATACGCCTCTTGCGTGAGTTTCTTCCGGGACTTACCACTATCACACGGCCTACGGGCCCCTTCCAACACCTATTTACACCGCCAGGGTTACCTGTCTAGCCACTAAACGTGCAACCAAGGCCTAGAATATGATGGCTTACACATTCCTTGCTGGCGATCACGGCCACAACATGATCTAATCTTTCCAGCGTATGCTCTTTATGATGAAACACCATTCTCTGGGGGTTTGTAATACTGTGTAAAGTCGTGCATCACGGCATCAAGGCCCTTGAGCAGATGTGAGCTTGTCATTAAAACATGTCATTGGGGCCAGTATCACTTGCCTTCTGCATCTGCTGTGCAAATTCCTTGTCAACTTCGGCTCTTTTAAGCGCTTGAAAGAAAGGCTCGTTCTGAATCGCTTCTGGACTCGCATCCCATAGCCGCTTGATGTTGCCGCTCGAGATAGGGTCGATAATCTCCTGGTATTTCTGTATGCGGATCTCGGAATACTTGTCCAAGATGTGATCATCCACTTGGCCGTTGAAGATGCCGTAAAGGCAGTCGAACAAATTGCCAACATCAACCAGACCGCCTGTGAGACCCATACCACCGCTATGAAGATCGCATCAGCCTCTCTTTGTCAAAGACGACAACACCACAAAATACCCGCAACTTACAATGGATTACAGACATGTGCAGCGTCCGCAGCGAGTAGGAACCTGCCAACCCTGAAGCTTTCTGCACATCGCTGATGGATTTTGTATGGGCTGAAATTCCTAATTTCGTACTCATTTGGCTCCGGCGCTCCAGGCACGAATTGCTTGAACTTCCAGGGTTGGCGTTCTTGCATTTGCTCTCGAGTAAGATTTCCCTCCTCGCCATATGTGATCCGAAGCAGCCCGTCGTTTGCAATCTGTGCAATCATCGGGAAGTGCTGCGGATCTATCTGGAAATTGGAAGACGTCCACTTGAAGTCTTTCAGTCTTGGGTAATACACCTAAAAGCATCAGTACGAGAATCCCCTTAGAGGTTTGATATAACGACAACGATAACAATGCCTACGTACATTGGTGGCAACAATTTGTTTGTCCCATGTAAACCCAGGGAAGCTACTGCCAAAAAGGGCTCGCCGGATGAAAGAATTGGCACCGTCACAGCCAACAACATAATCTGCCTCGAGCTTCTGCTCGCCCTCTGGCGACTTCACATTGACCCACGCACGATGCTCGTCCTGCCCAATTGAGACCACCTCATGTTTTAGGCAGACTTTCGCCGTAGGATGCCTAGCGACATGATCCGCCATGATCGGCAGTAGCTCATCCAGTGGAAGTGATATCATGGTTTCTTTGCCTGGAGGGTTTGACGACTGGACTGCGCAGATCGGAGTGCCGTCAAGATGGCGCCATGTCACTCCATCAGGCACAAATGCTTGTTTCATGATGTCTTCCATGAGACCTGCGCGTCGCAGCTCGTAAATGGTTGGAGAGCTGTAAAAGCTGGCTCTGGGATTTCGATCTATCTCGGTCGATTTCTCCAGCACTGTTACATTGATGCCCTTCTGTCCCAGGAGAAGAGCCAACAACAGCCCTGCTGGACCTGCTCCGACGACAATAACCTATGTTATCATTATCACTGCCGACTTCTACGTGAGCGGCCTACTTACAGTAAAATCATTGTTCCTCGTTGCTCCCATTTTGAACGTCTCACATGGGTATCAATGGATGTCGATGGAGAGTCCCGAATTACTTAATTCAAGTCAAGTTATCGTCCCTTTTTGGGATCTCAAAATCCAATTTGTTGTGCATTATCTTGGCAACAAGTGTCAGCTTGCCAAAAGCCATTTCAGCTTTCGATGTTACTAGAAGTACAGCATCCCGAGGCTCGGCTATAGATGTTTGTCCGACTTTCTGTGCTACGCGATGCTGTCGGTACTTGCGGCTTCAGATTGTTACACACGGCCAGATCGTTCACTGAGGGGAAGAGCAAACAGTGCAAGGCCAGCGGACTCGAGTCTCACATTTAGATGCTATTCAATGATGTTCTAAACAAGCTAGGTGTGATTGATCAGCACTGACAAGAGACCTTCCCCCATTTCCCCTTTAGAACAATTGGTGATGTGAAACTCGACGTTGACTACTCCAGATTTCCCCACATTCTCTCAACTTCCGCATTGCGTATCAGATCTAACTGCCGATATCTCCAAATTCCTTAAGACGGTAAGTCACACAACACTTTAGATCCTTCCCCAAGCTTCCCCGCAAGGCAAGCTCGGGTCCGGGCTAATTTATGATTGCGAATGGAGAAACCTCCGCCCTGGCACCGGGTAATCCATGAAGCGGAGCTGCATACATTCGATCCCGCGGGCTGGACTACATAGATTTGGGTTGCGATGCATGCCTCATTTGGAGAGCGACCCGTGATCTGAAGAACGTGGACGATGACAGCTCTTCTACATTTCACCTGCAAGTGACATAGACCATTTCGACAACTGTCTCCAGAGAAACTCCAGGATCATGACCACAACGCGAGGACCGAGATATACAGACACTCTGTACCAATCTGCTCATGAAGAGTGCTTCTCTAAGCCTCTGATACAGGAGATTAAGAGTGTTCTACCCCCAGGAGTGAGCCAAGAGGACTTTAGCCGCGCCCTGGAAGAACTCACCCAGGCACTGGGCGCGGATGCTGTATTCAGTGGCAGCGACCTGAAAGAATACGTCGACCCATACGAGATCCCAGAAGCGGGCAATGAAAGAAAATTGCCAGGTGCTGCAGTCTGGTAAGCAGTTGTTCCAAGGGCCGAAAAAGTCTATAGCTAACCAGTTCTCTCTCAGTCCTACATCTGTTTCTGAGATCCAATCGGTATTGAGAATCGCGAATCAATACAACATACCCCTTTGGACCATTTCGCGGGGTAAAAATTTAGGGTGAGATGGAAAGCCTCCTTTTGGGTGTTTGAAGGTGACGTTGGACGCTGATCGTCTATAGATATGGCGGCCCCGCGCCAATTGTGTCCGGATCGATCATCTTGGATCTCCACCGCCTGAACAAGATAATCGAAGTCAATGAGAAATTTTCATACGCAGTCGTTGAGCCCGGAGTGACGTTCGGCGATTTATATACCTTCTGCTCTGAGAGAAAGCTCAAAGTTTGGCCAAGCACAGCATCACTCGGATGGGGAAGTGTAGTCGGTAATGTACGTGCCTAAGCTGTCGGAAAACAAGAGTCTATATACTTATTCTGTATTAGACATTAGATCGAGGTGTCGGGTTTGTGCCGTATGGATCACACCATGAACATATTGCCGGGCTGGAAGTTGTACTTGCCAACGGCGACGTCGTCCGCACTGGACAGTTTGCCATGACCACCTCGCCATCCGCACACCTTAGCAAGTTCAGCTTCGGTCCATCAATCGATGGGCTGTTCTTGCAAAGCAATCTAGGTATTGTGACAAAGATGGGAATTCATATGACATCCCAACCACAAGCATATATGGCTTGCACATTCGACATGCCTGAGTTGGAGGATATAGAAGCCATTGTCGACGTATTTGGTGCCCTGCGCCGAGATGGTATTCTTCCAACGGTCGTGTACGTCTTCAGTATTGTTGAGTGGACTTCCATTTTCGGGAAACGGTCCGACTACTGGGAAGGCGAGGGACCTATCCCAAATTGGCGGTTGAAAGAGATCCAGAAGGAGCTCGATGTCGGCTTTTGGACAGTCAAATTTGGACTCTATGGTCCGAAAAGCATTATTCAAGCACAATTCGACGAAGTCCACAAAGTTGTTAGTAAGGACATTCCTGGAGGTCGTCTCAGAAATTATACGTTCGAAGGTGAAGATGGCGGCCTTCTTGATGCATCTTCGGTTCCCATGCCGCACGGTGGTATGTTCGTTGGCGTCCCGAGCATGTGGAGCATTCCGATGGTCAGCTACTATAACCCAAAAGATGGTTCTGGCGTAGGTGCCCATGGCGCTTACTCGCCCATCATTCCGTTGGATGGGAAAAGGATATTGGACTGGGTCAAAGCCGCCAAAGAAGTCTATGAGTCTAACGGCTTCGACCTTCTGTGTGATTTCTTTATGCACGAACGTCATGCTGTGTTTGTCTGCATGCTCTGCTTTGACAAAGCTAACCCAGAGCAGAGGGTGGCAATTGACAAGATCTTCCATGGACTATTCGAAGAAGGCAGCCGAAGAGGGTTTGGTAAATACCGATCGCATATCAACCATATGGGTGAGTTAGCTGTCTTTCGTTCAATAGATATAACCTGGAGGCACTGACAGAGAAATAGACATGGTTTCTGATTTGTTCGACTTCAACAACCATGCTTATCGTCGATTCGTCGAAACCCTAAAGGTAAGTCTGTCCGGTCTAAGTTACTACCCTGGCTTACCTTACGGCGCTGACCCGCAACAGGACTCTCTGGATGTCAATGGGATCCTGTCTCCAGGTAAAATGGGCGTATGGCCAAACCGATTCAGACAGAAGAAAGTCAATGTGAACTCTACTTGATGATGTCAAGAGATGTGATAGTGCATGTCAAGAAGGTAGCTGTACCCAGAATGAGACAAATCCGGCTTGTAATGCATCCCTGATGTCGCCCTCCTAGAACTATTAGCTGCCACCGCCTTAACAGGTTTTGAATAGGTACTGAGCAGCAAGGCACAGCGAGGCAACGAGTACACCACGAACAATTGTTAGTAAAAATAGTAGTGTTCTACCAATCGTAGCAAGATTATATTTGTTTATTGAATCAGAATCGGGCAAGGCCACTCTATCCTATACACAATAAGATATACAATGAGATACACAATACGGGAGTACTATGATCTCCCTTCACACTAACGAGTTCAACATAGTAAGACATTCTCAATCAATAATCCTCTTTCTAATACCTATAGGCTTTTCTAATGGGGATGTCAAACAGCAAGTGAAGAGGCTTCCACAGCAGCAAGTCTCGAGGTTCCTAGCAGTCCAGCAACACTGACGGTAAGACACAAAGTGTCTGGTAGTAGTGAAGAAGCCTTGCGTCTTTACGGAGCCTTGAGATCCCGCAGCTGAGAAGATGCTACTACAACCATGACAGTGAGCCTTAAGGGCCCGGCCCAGCCATAAGAGCCTCAAACACGCATAGAATTGGCTCAAGGTGCAGGCAGGTGGTGCTGATTGGCCTCGGCCATGTAAATTCCGTTAATTAAGCCATACAACCCATGCAACACACAATAGTTTACTTCACACTCTACAACACAACAAGGCTCCTTTAAGGCCATGCCCAGGACTGGCATTATCTATATATACACTAACAAATTCTGAGATGTTAGGCGTGTAAGGCGAACAGTGTGACGGTCGTCTATAAATAGCCTACACAATCAGTATCACCATATGCGGTTAGTTTTGACTCATCGATGATAGCTATAATGAAGTGTTAATTAGGAGTCATTCGAGACCAGAGAAAAACATATACCTCTTAGACAATTGTCACATTTACAAACTTCGACTGTCATAGTAGCGGCGACGATGGTTGAGGGCGTGGAGAAGGTTAATAGCTTCACCATATCCGTAAGGTCACTTCTCATGTGCTTACCAACTTGATAGAGTTATGTAGTTAGAATTATCATTTCAAGATAATCAAGCTTGATTAAACAGTCAAGCCCTTGTATAGGCAGGCTATATAGGGCCTTCTAACAAAGCTCAAATCCGGGTTTCACATAGCATTACACTTGCTGGAAACACACATCTTAGGCTACCGGGTTTGAACTCGGATCCGCCACCTCATTGTCCGTGTGGCATAAATTGTGTTTTACAAGGGACTCGAAGGAGTTGATATACTTCAGCACGATGGTCTG